TGAGTGCCACCCTGAGTTAAAACCTGCATTAAGGAAGAGAGGAGCCAGAGAAGGGGCAGGAAGGATCTTGATTGTCTAGTAGCCAACAGCAGCACAACCACAAATCCTCTTAATGCAAAACTAGCTGTGAAAAATATAATAGTTGAAGTCAGTTAGAATGCTGTGAAAATATCAAGGAAGGAACAGGAGGAGGCTCCTAGCTAAAAGAAATTAAAGCAGTGTCTTGGGAAAGATGAAGCTGAGATGAGTCTTTAAAGGGTGCAGGCATGGGAGAGGGAAACATATTTATATTTCCAGTACTGACACAATCTGAACCAGGGCCTGAAATTCAAAGTGTTACTGAGGATTCCTGAAGAATATGAGCAGGAGATGAGACATTTGAAAGAGGCAGAAGAGTACAGAAGATGAGGCAGTTAGAAGTTGCATGATGGAATTTTGAATACCTGAGTCAAGAATTTTTATTTAATTTAAGGGCAACTGAGAACACCATCAAGGAATCTCTGTATTTTTGCTCTTCATCTTGTTTCAGTTTTTTGAAAGCATAGAAATAATATCATCAAACTGCTCTAAAACAATAATAGTAGTTTGTGTAGTATGAGTTAGAGGAAGGGGGACCATTTAACAGGTAGCTGTCTAGTATATAAAAGAATATAAATAAAAGATGTGGAAGTCTAATGCTTGAGTGCTGTACTCTGAGTCCTAATGAGGCTGACTATTTAAATCAACTAACATGAACACACATTTGCAGAAAACTTTGGACTTAGTTCCATGCTATTTGGACTTAGTTCCCTGCTATTTTCGCTTATTGATAATTGTAGATTAGACTGTTAATGGAAACCAAGCCCCTGGATAGACACAGCATCACATGCTTCTCCTCTTGTCTCTTTCAGAAGGACAGAAATTGGAATATATTTTAATTTTTCAGCTAATAAAAGTTTTGTTCAGAAGAAACTTTGATCTTCTCTGAATCAGGCTAGATTTCTTACCTAGCTTGGTTCTCATGGTATGGTAAATAACTGCCACTCTGTAAAAGCTTTTAATCCCTTGCTATATTAAGGACGGTTTGTGGACAAAGAGCACAACCCACCCAGGATTGGTTATAACTGCAGAATCTAATCTTCATCTACTAAATCAGAATCCCCATTTTAATAAGATCTACGCACGTTGTTTGAGAAGCATTGGCCTGTTTTTAAGCCAAAAGTTTTCTAGCTTCTCTGTGTTATTTTAGGACATACAACCCATGCATGTGGACAAACCCAAGTTGTATACAGGGAAGAATCCTGATATTCATAATGCACTCCAGTTCTTTTAGAGAGGGGAACATATCAAAAGCTTAAGGCAATACACAATGCATAGGACTCTGCAACTGGTAGCTATGATTATTATGTGTTGTGGCTATTTTTATTTATAATTTTTCATTTTTTAACCTGGACCATTAAAATTACTGTTTAACCTCTCCAAACACAACAAAAACATTTTAAGAAACACATGATGGAGCTAAACTTGCAGAAACAATCACCAGATCATCTTTCTCCCACATGGAGACAACAAATACAATTTTTCATTGAAATCTGAATGGAGAAACTGTCTTTAAATCTCACAATTTGACATTTTACTTGGGATAGATTTTTTTATTCTCTTACATTTTAAGATCTGAACTTTTAAAAATTATAATATTAAATACAAAAATAGGTTATCTTTGATGTGAAATGGATCCTCAGCCCTGACTTGATGCTCTCCTTCCTAAGACAGCACTAGCCTGATCTTTCCTAGACCAATTATTTTGAACTGGTTCAGGTCTAGAAATGATTTGACAGCAGAACCTTTGTGTCTATCAGTCCAAATGAAGAACAGAGTGAAGAATAAGATACAATTAAGCAGTCAGAGCAATCACTCAGGGTGTCTTCAGAACACTATCTGTGTTGAATTTAAAGAGCTATGGGTGACTGAAAATCCAAGTGATTTTGGCATCGACTGTACACAGTCCTGTACTTTGTACAGTATGTAGTCTTACGCATGGAGAGGGTCCCTGCTATCTGTGGACTGAAAGACTTCTAACAGTGTTCACTCCATTCAGACAAGAGTACACTTGTTTTCTTGCTGAATATTTAACTGTGCTTTTTTTCTGAAACGTTTATCCGCCTAGCTATGTTAAAAGGCAATTCTATTTCTAAGTTACCGAAAATGTTTAGTTTTGACCTGGAAATTTCTTGTGGAAAAACAGTGTTTATTAATGGAGCATGATTTGGTTCTGAGGAACTGTGGGCCTTCTACAGTGCTTACCTGGCTTTTGGGAGTTGGAGATTATAACTAAAAAAGCACTGTGGATGGTTCCCCTAAAATGTGTGAATTATTCCAGTCCAGTACTTTAGCGAATGATTACACATGGTGGATAAGTTTTATATGCTAAAAAATTATCTGATCAAATAGGTTTGACTTATGACAAGTAAAATTAAGTGAATATTTTATTGCAGAATTTTCCATTCTTTACTGTTAAATGTTTTATGACTTTATAAGAGGCCCAAATGTGCTTTTACTCTCAAAGATATTTATTGCGCAACTATTTTCCATGAAATTACAGGATTAATGTTTCTTTGAGCAGAAATCAAGATTTCCTAATAGTTTCTTACTAATAATAGTAACCACATAAAATTTTAAATACTAATAGGAATCTGCATGCGAATGTTTAAACAATGATTTGTTTGATTCAGAAAGCTTTTAAAGTGTTGTGATATACACATAGAAGACAGAAAATCTGAGTTAGGATGGTTCTTAAAAAATTGAAATCACACATGTCTATTGTGAATCTTCCCCATAGAACTGACTCAACATTCTCATTCATTGCCAAGCAGCAATGATAATTGAAAATTAGGAGGTTAAAGAACTGCTAAGTGACTATTACTGTGTCAGATACAGTGGGAGGTACAAAATAGATAATTACCCTAGAACATTTACTAATCCAATTGAGGAACAAAGTTTAAATAAGTAATGAGAGAACAGTTAACTCTTTAATTTCCCATGGGAAAAGTTAAATGTTGGCATTGGTAATTCACTTCTTCTGAAGGTTTATATTGGTCCTCATGGTTTAATGTCTTGATATAGCTTCATATTTTGGCCCAGTGTAATTATTCTAAAATGGAATGTTCACTTATCAAAGACAAAATATCCATGTTGGCTGACAGTAAAGCAGGGAAAAATCTAAAAAAATGTCATCTTATCTAGTAAACTAATGTCACATTTGCAAGAATGTGTTTAGTCATTATGTGAATGTGTTTAAAATGACATTTCTACGCCTTAGATCTTGTATAGTAAATACTTGAAAAAAATGTGTCATTTTTATTTTATAGTTATATGTGTACATATTTTTCCTTTCTGATCACACACTTTAACATTCATATAGCTTTAATTCCCACAGGTGTATGACAATGAATTTGTATTTTGGTTTATTCATAGGTCATCTGAATTTATTATGTCAGTTATTATTTTTAATAATAACAATACAATATAATTTAATGACTCAATTTCTGGAACTCCATGCATAAAATAAAAAAGTTTGATTTGCAATACATCAACAAAGGACTTCAGTGCATACCGCTTTGCTGTCTTTTTAAAGAAATCTAATTATTTTTCACTCATTATTATTATAAAAGTTTTGAAACTCAATATATGAAAAAAATCACCATTGCCTGAACTATGGTGAAGCTGAAACAGATTCTCAAAGTGAAGGTTATCATGGTTCTGTGAGAAAAATAATTTGCTTCCATGTATCTTTGAAAAAGATGCAGCTCTCTTTTTTGGAGGAATGAGAGGCAACGTATTGAAAATCATCTAGAACTAAGTCAAATGCTAGCTTTCTCGTCATCCATGTCACACTGACTACTCACATATCAAAAGGCATAGATTTATACAACATGTATCATTTGTTTTGGAGATTTGGGGTTTTTTTTAATCTTTGCTTTTGAAATTGAGGGAGCAACATCCACCCTGCCCATTTAAACTAGTAAAATATTTAGCTATCAAGACATAAAAGTTCTTTGAGAAGATACAGTATCTCTTCATGTTCATTGTAATACATACTTTTTAATTGGGGATGGTGTGTGTTGTAAAATATTATTAATGTACATTGGATTCCATTCCAGGCTTCATCGAATAGCACTAGAGTCTAATATGTGCTATTTATCACAATTAGATATTACTTATTAAGGTGATATCTGTGTCTATTTGTTAAAATTCTACTCCAAATTAGGGATTGAAAGTAGAATTGAAATACAGAATATATCTTTGTTAATTAGAATCCTTTCCCCAGAGACTGTGCATTGATGAGCATAGTAGGCATTTATCAAAAAATTGTTGATTGGAATGAATGTCTACTTCCTAATTGTATCATACATATAAAATTTATACTATTTATTTATACTTGTTCCTCAGGAATGTTGAAATTAACATTATATCAAGTTTTGCTTTTTTAAAAATTATATATGTTACAAAATCAACTTTGGAGATCACATTTATGAATATTAAAAATACTTTTTGTAATCACTTCTGACATGAAAGGCATATATAATGTAATTCAAATATTTTATATTAGAAGGCAGAGTTTGATAACATTCGGTACTAAACTGACAATTTCAATGATTTCTCTCTTATAGTACATTTTAGAAGTATGTGATAAGGAGATAGGATAATGTGATCGCGTTTTACAGAGTAAGATTCATAACCAAATAAAAGTATGTTCAAGCCCCAGCTGTAGCCCTTCTCTCCAGGATGATGTTTGCTGTTAATTTCTCTAAGCCTTTGTTACTCTGTGTGGGTCTAATTATACTTGTCTCCTGAATCACGTATGAGATTAAATTTGGTACCAGACTTCAAATGCTTAGTATAATATTTAACATATCAGCCAGCCATAGTTTTTATTATGTATACAGTTCATCTTCTAAACAGACATTCTGTTTTGTGCTTGTTTCTGCTTTATGAATTGGTATGTATGTTTCCTTTCACAGATGGATATACAACTGACGACATTGAGTTTTACTGGCGTGGGGATGACAACGCAGTGACAGGAGTGACAAAGATTGAGCTTCCGCAGTTCTCCATTGTGGATTACAAACTTATCACCAAGAAGGTCGTTTTTTCTACAGGTTTGTATGAGGAAAAGGGTTCAGGGGAAAGAATATTTATCATATTTTGTCATAGGAGTTCACTTCTTTCAGGGTTGTGTTTCTGGGAAGGACCATAACTTTAGAAGACAGCTCTGCTAAATATCCTGTTTGCCACTCAGCTTATTGCTCCATTCTTTTCCAGAAGGGGCCACCAGCAAAGCTGAGAAGGTCAGGTCTCTTATTTGCCATAAAAGGAACTAGTTTTTAAAGACAGAATACAGAAAGTGAAATAAAGACCTGGGTCACAGTTGTCCTTCAACTTTATGCAACCCATGAATTCATCACAGTTCTTAGAACTATACTGAGGATTACCAAGCAGAAAGTCAAACTAGACTCACCATGGTGAAATTCTCTAAAGACAGTGAAGTAGGAGGATTTCATATTTTTTCAAAGGGTTATAACTTCCTTCCAGTTTTACCCAGATTTGAGTTATAACCCCTTCCAGATGTTGAGATTATCCTGTTACCTTGCCATCTTTATCCTTATGGAATTGAGATTTCAGATTGTCACACTTGATTTCAGCAGCACAATTTTTACATAAAAACCCCAGGAAGGCAGTAATTTGCTAGATATTAATTTAGTAGAAAAGAAAAATAAAAAGTAAGCCTACAGGAATATTTCTTCTTATATTTTTCTTATTGAAGTGAATCCCATAGGCAAAGAAATAGACAATACCATTACCAAATACTGAATTGCCTCTCCTTTTAAGGGTTCATATCCCTGCAACTCACTTCAAGCAAGAAGTGTGTTACTTAGTAAAGATTCAAAGTTGTATCTAGCTCTAACAGAAACTTTTCCTAAGTGTGAGGTACTCTAAATCCATAAAGCTGTGGAGATGTGCTCTTATTTGGAATGATTTTACTTATATATTGGGATACTTGGCTTAGACCAAGAAGACTAAATGCAATTTCTTTCAAATATTGAAAATAGCCTCGCCTCTATTATATATTAAAATACTGTAAGATTATGATCTCCTATGTATCTTCTCTAAAGAATAATTCCCAAATCACCATAAAGAATTCAAATTTAATAAACTGATTCCTTAGTTGTATTTTTCACAAATTCTGCTCAAAATCAGTGATTCTCCACTTCGAAGAGGGTAAGGGATCCCCTTAGCACTCTGATGCAAGTGGTTAAATTATTAAGAATAAAGAGTATATATAGAACATAAAAATATATACAGACCTTCACTTCCTGAAGCTTTGCTATTGATCACAGAACTACATGAGATTGGGTTTTTATCCTATGATCACAGCATGTTAAAGAGAAAACTTATAGGATGAACTTAATGAGGAACAATTAAACAAGTGAACAAAGGGACAGTACAAGTTGTCTTGTCATCACAATAGCAGAGAATGTGTGTCCTTAATGTGGTATATGAGACTGAGCAGGGAGAGCAGGGTTCCTTTTAATTACTGGTGAGAATATATTCCATAGTGAGTATTCCTGATAATTAAAAGCCTGTGCTTATGGAGTACTTTGGCTGAGAATAGATTCCTTTACCCAGAGCTAAAATTGGATTTGGGGAAAATGTACAAATGGTGTATGCGCCTTTAACAGGAAGTATCCAATACATATGGATTAATAATGGTGATGTTCTAAAATTGTCTTTCCAGGTTCCTATCCCAGATTGTCCCTCAGCTTTAAGCTTAAGAGAAACATTGGCTACTTCATCCTGCAAACATACATGCCCTCCATCCTGATTACTATCCTCTCCTGGGTCTCCTTCTGGATTAATTACGATGCTTCGGCTGCAAGAGTGGCATTAGGTATGCAGTTTTCCAGCTGCACGTGGAGCTTGGCTTTGTGAATGTGTGCACATGCGCTTTCCTCACCCAGGCATTTGTGATGCATGACCAGGCTGGACCTTGCACTTTGCAAGAGTTTAGCCATTAGACTTCGGGTGCTCTGATTCAGCATTAAATCAATTAAACATGAATTAAAGTGCTTCAGTGTCAAAATTAGTTAACCATATAGCTATTGGTAATGAAATTAATTTCATCAGTTTGATATTTTTATCGCAACATATTTCATGCAATATTGCTTGCATAATCATTCAATTTGTTTCTGGGCTTGTTTACTTGAGAAGGGCTCCCATCCATCTTTTTATTATTCCTGAATGCCAAACAAGGAAATGTAGTGTGTAGCAAACAGATAAGTAAAAAAGATTTTGAAGTTTGATTCATGTTTTTGAGCAGCATGCAGAGTGCAAGAGACAACAGAGTAAGAACACTAGGAAATCACCAGAGGCAACACTTATATGCCTGAGGAAGACAGTACATTATATTTAATGTTTTTGTTACTATTTCCAGTGAATTCATAACCCTTTATACAGTTTTTATAATCTCGAGTTCTACCTCTTACCTTTAAAATATTGAATTGTTCACTTCTTCACCATGAGATCCCAATTCAGTCATTACTTCCTTAGGAAAGTTGTTCATTTATTCATGCAAAAAATATTTGTTAAAGCTAGGAATGTTGGTGCAGACCTATATTCCCAACACTCTGAGAGGCTGAGGGAGGAGGATCATAAGTTCAAGACCATCCTGGGAAACTTAGTGAGTTAGGGAGACCCTGTCTCAAAATAAAAATTAAGATAAGAGCCGGAATGTAGCTCAGTGTGAAGGGTCTGTGTTCAAAACCAGTACCATGTACATTAAAAAAAAAATGCTGAACACTTAAAATGCACTAAGTAAAAGAAGTACATACAGCAGTCCTCTTCTGGAAGTTATGTTTTAGTAGTAAAAGGTAGATAATAAATTAAATAATCATGGAAGTTTTATCACAGAGTGAACCTACAGAAGGAAACAAACAAGGTAAGAATACTTGGATATACTAGGGAATATAGTTTAGAATAATCACAGTGACCCTCACTCAGAAGTTGCTACTAGACTAAAGACTTTAAGAAGATGAGGAGCCATGGACATAACTGGGTGATAATATTCCAGGCTATTCAAAGACCTTTAGCACAAACAAGCCAAACAACTGAGCAGGAGGCAAGTGAAGCCAATGAAGAGTGAGTTTGGGGCTGTAGTAAAGATAATGTTGAGCACAAGGGACTGAAAGATCCAAAGAGCTTTGTAGGCTATAGTAAAAGCTTTGCTTGTATCTTGAATGAAATAGAGATCCACTGAGTAAAGAAGTGATACAATTTAGTTTTAGATTTAATGGGGTCATTTTTAAGATTAGATTGTGATGGTTCAAGAATGGGGGGGGGAGAAGGACAGCCTCCTGGACTGAGTCAAGATCTTGTGAATCATACACTTAGAAAGCCATAGAACTCCCCTGTATGGATGACCTCAATTATAATTTATATTTATTTAATGTCTTACACAGGAGAACGTACTCACAAATACTCGCTAAATGAGGGAATGAATACAATCTAAGAATATCTTATTTTCCCAAAGATATGATCAGTTTCCCATTTTGTTTGTATTATAGGAATGATGGATAATTTACTCATTTTCTGAGAAATTTGAAAAATATCTTTTTATGTGAGCAATTTGCCACTAGGTTCAGAAATACCATAAAATGAGATTTAGATAAATGGCAAAATCAACATTGTCTATTTAAATACATACATGTGGAACAAGATAATTTGTAGTTGAAAGGATAAAGAGAAAAATTAAATTAGAAAATGTTTTAAAATGACTAATATAAAGAAGACATGAGAATTGCAAGATACTTAAAGAAAAACCAAAGCTCAAATTTATATTTTCTGTAGCTTTTAATGAAAATGAATAAAAAATAAATACTATGATGTTATTTTTAGAGAGATAAAATTAAATAAGAAAACTATGCCTGCTAAACATCGTAGATATGAAATTTAACTATTAGGATATGCTATTATAGAGTGTTTAAGGTAAGTTTCCAGAGTTGGAAAGATCATGGTACAAATGATGGCTCTACAATTGCCCATTTCTGTGATCTTGACTGTTGAGCTTTGTCTATTTTCACATCACTATTTTGCTACCATGCTGGACTTTACTCAGGACTCTGGACTCCCAATGCTTTTACCTTCCGATTACAGTTTTGAGAGAAACTACTTTCTACTGTCAGAGCTATCCACTTAACTAGATGAACAATTACAGCCTGACCCAGTGTGGCATTTCCTATAAAGAATCTATAAGATGTTACTTATCTGGGCATTATATGACTAATTGTCTAATCCAAAACCAGAAGAGCTCAGAGTCCTGCTTTGTCTCCCTCCACTTCCAGTTTCTGAATGTTGACAATCATTCCTCTATACCATTTGTGTAATGGTGTAGTCATTGATTTCAGAACTGTTGCCAGTATTTTAATTTACTTGCCTTCCATTATTTGCACAGATTAGCCTGACAGCCTCATAACTGGTATTCTTTATTCTCTTGAATGTTTCTCTCCCATTGTCGATACTGCTTCCGGTTGTCCTAAATTCAGTTTGTCCATGTACCTCCCAGCTCTACATTGCCCTCAAGTTTAAATTCCCCCTGGGACTCCCCATGGTGCACCCTTATTTAACCTCCATTTTTCTCACCATTCTTCCCATCCTCCCCAGTAGTGTACATGGGATGCTTTTCTCAAAATCCTTTAATGGGCTGTGAACTCTCCCTCAAACCCAACCTTTATATAACGTTCTCTATCACCAGTGCCCTAAATCCATCTTTTGACCCTCAGTTCTCAGTCTTCTGGGTAACATTATCTTGTTTTTCTGGTGTCTATTTCCTGAAAAAGTGTCCATTTCCTGATCTCCTCCCCGTGTGATTTATGGTCTTTTGCATTTGAATTCTCATCTTATGTACATGTCTAACATAACATTTAATTCACATTTCTACACATTTATTACTCACTACATATATAAATATAAGTTAAAAATACTATTAAAGGAAATTTTCCAAAATGATTAATGTTCATTTTAAGTTAACTTACACATAACTCCGGGGCCTGTCTCAGGGCTGGTATATATTAAGTGCCCAGTAAACATACTGTGCATAAGTTAACATTTTCAGATACTCTGAGGGAGTAGGAATCTTACTCTACCATTGTCATTTCTTTTCAGGAATTACAACTGTCCTTACCATGACCACAATCAACACCCACCTTAGAGAAACTCTCCCTAAAATCCCCTATGTGAAGGCCATTGACATGTACCTAATGGGGTGCTTTGTCTTCGTTTTCATGGCACTTCTGGAATATGCTTTGGTCAACTACATCTTCTTCGGGAGGGGACCCCAACGCCAAAAGAAAGCAGCCGAGAAGGCGGCTAGTGCCAACAATGAGAAGATGCGCCTGGATGTCAACAAGGTAAATTCAGAGGGCAAGCCCTCCTTGCTCCTCTAACTCACAAAACAATGCTAGCCTTGGAGATAATGGCCTTGCTCAACATAGGAGAAAACCAAGGCCCAGGGCAGAGAATGGGTAATTTTCCTCAAATTCATATGTGAGAGGCATGGTTAGGGTCCCAACTAATCATCTCAAAGTTGTTTCCCCTATCAGTTAATCTTAGGGTTGGTTGCCCAAACCTTCATTATCTGAAAACCACCTATATGATTTTTTCCATATATGAAAAGTCTATATTTACTTTATATTTCTTTAAAGTTTCGCACCTTGTTTAAATTAAAAAGGGAAGTTCATCTCATTCTCATTGGTTTCACTTGCTGGAAGATAAGTTCAAGTAAATAAATAAACACAAACTATGTTATTAAACTCTATGCAAAACAAAGGCTCTGGACCTTAGATCTGAATTCTCTTTGACTTACAAAGGAAACAAGCAAGGATAGAGATGTGGTGAAGACTCAAAATCAACAAACTCAGACTTTGTCCTGAAACTAATCAGGATAGAAAGATAAGTGGGGAGGAATGATTTTTCTCCTGAAGTGACACAGTATCCCTTAATGCTGTGAACATATACCACTTATGATAGAAGGAGGCACTTGGCAGTGTGAGGCCTGCTCAGAGACTTCCTACACAGTTTTACACCCTTTTTATTCCTCAGGTCAGTAGTTTCAACTATAGTTCCGTGGTAAAGTGTCTTAGAGGAAATAAAAAATGATACCGACACTTGGGTCCCTTACCCTCCTTATTTGATTGTCTTGAGTATGTGTAAACATCATACTTCTTTAAAGTTCACCAGGTTATTCCAATTTGCAACCAAGAATCTCCACTTTGAGGTTCGCGACTGCAGTCCCCATGGATTTAGCCCTCTTTAATCGAAAATGTAATCTCATCTGGCTTGCTGTTAGACAATTTTCTACACTAAACAGAATATTTGTGTATATGATTACCCTTCGTCAAGATTTATACCCTTTGAAATGAAAAACACATGATCTTGATTTAATATTTCCCTAAATAGTGTTTATAAAGTAGTGTGTAACACTGGATTCAATAAATAGTTCATAATGATAGGACTAGGAAAAAACCAATACTTTTAAGCCATGGGCAATTATTGACTATAACAATAATTATTTCATTGACATTTTAATATTTCCGCCTTCCCCTTAACTTCAAAGATAGTACAAATAAATGATCCCTACAATTGGGATTTATTTAGAGAAAATCCTGTGGAATTTATGATTCACTTAGCTTTCCCATATATTTATCTATAAGTCTAATATTTGATTTTGAACTATTTTTAGTTCAGAAGATGATATTTATAATGATGCAAATAAAGTGTAGCCCTTAAAAGCCTATAAACCATAGCGAATAGGAATTATTAGTTTCCAATACCCAATGTCTTACTCTTTGGAATCTGTAGCTTTGTAGATAACAATGGCCAGTCTCACATTATGGGTATCTCAGACTGTCAAAAAGTACTTTCTAAAACCTTTTCATGATTTTCCTGATATTGTCGCCTTAGTAAGGAAAAGAGAATGAATAAATAAAACTATCTCCTAGGACTGCAGTTTGAAAGGTGTCTGAATCAATTGCCTAATGCAAGGCTGACTTAATAAGATAACATCTGACCTCTTTTTACTTTCATCTACCCTATTTTTCATACTAATTTGCATTTAAATGATAAATTTAAGATCTAGGCAGTAGAAATTTTATATAAACTGAACTTGAAAAGCTTTAGATAGCTCTAAATTCAATTGTACTGAGATGGGTAGAGAATGGCTCACTGGGCAGGTGCCTCATGGCATAGAAATGTCCTCCTGACTCAGCCTGAACACATAATTCAGGCAATAGCATATGAGGGAATAAGAAAGATACCTAGAAATCTTTCAGTGCAGTGGTTCTTGTAGCAGGGACAAAGTCATCTCCCAGGGAATTCTTGGCACTGTCTAGAGACAATTTTGGTTATCAAAACTAGGAGAGGGGAGTTGCTGCCTGTACCCAGTGTGTGGAAGCCAGGGCTTGATGCTGAGAACACCCTGCAGTGTGCAGGACAGCTTCCCATAACAAAGCATCATCCACTCAAATCATCCAACTTTCAATCTCAAACATGAGAAACTGAGGACACGAAAAAGTATATGCTTATGCTAATATTCTTTACCAAAAGTGGCTTCACCACTTTCTTTGATCAACACAATACTAGAAGATACTAGGACTTGAGATTTAGCATAATGTTTCTAAATACGTATTTTGAAGACAGCTTCAGCATTTGCCCTCCCATTAATGACTGTGTGACAATAGATAAAAACAGCTTATTTGACCCTTCAAGTTTCTCATCTGTAAAATGGGGCTAATTCTTCTCTCATTATGCTATTATAAAGATTATTTTGATAATGTGGAAAAAGGGTATCATACTCATTAGTGCATGAAAAATCAGTAATTGGTAATTATTAATAAAATGTTAGTACTAGGTATTATTAGTTTTAAAACAAAATTCATCATCTTCAGACTTATAGATGACCTTAGCTTGTACATCTTACATGGTCTACAATGTAGAATTCATTCACATCCCCTAAAAGAGAATATTATCTTAAAAGGAACGGTGCATGACAGAAATTTTAATATTAAAGCAAAAATAGTATTTTTAATGACTATTAACTGTAGAATTTATAGCAAACCCATTATGTCAAATTTTATCAATTATTTCTTAGGACAAAATACCTATGCCATATTGATTAAATGAAAGATTACCCACCTAAAATTCCAGATCGCTGTAGTTCTTTTGCAACCCAGCATGAAAAGTTAGAAAGGAATCTACATAGAGTTCTGATGGTACAAAGGTTTCTTTTGTGTTACCTTATGAATAATGCCATCATTTCTTATCAGAATGGTCCCTTCATTCACTTCTTTTCAACTGTAATTCTAAACTTATTTTTCCTTCAAAGATTGGGCACATATAATCAGCCAAGCATTGCTGTCTGCTCAAAACACAATCAGTCTCTAGGAGAGGGATTGAATTTTTCACCTCTGATAGTTTTCTAGAGATGGAAGTAAGGTACCTGATCACCTAAACCAGTGATGGTGAACCTTTCAGACCTTTCAGTGATAACACACGACTTACTGCTGCATACCTGCCCTAGGTTCACCACCATTGACTTGTTTTTTAAACTATGCTTTGTCCTGAGGTCAAGGAGAGATGAAAATGGGAAGCCAGCCCATATAGGAACCCATTGCTACTTCAACAAATACTCCCACGGTTTTCCTGCCTTTTCTGTGTAATTTCTTTTAACTCTTTGAAAAGGAAAATGTTCAGCTCCTAAAGCATTTCCTGTCCTGAAATTTTAGTAATGCAAATAGTAACATTCTTTAAGAAATTGCAGCAGTCAAACTTGCATAGCAAAGTTGATAAAAATTCTGAGCCTTGGAGTTTTTCCTATTTATATTCAGTGTCTATTGCACTGTTAACAAAATAAAAATAAAATGAAACTGAGAAGCTCATTCTACATTAGCACATATGTTTAGCACAGTTGACTTCACCAAAAAAAAAAATTTTCACTTGCCTGCACATGAAGGTCCATAAACAAATGTCCCTCCACTGTTGTCCTCCTGCAATAAATGAAATTGTAAAATATTAATATTTTTAAATATGCTACAAATGAACATGAGATCTATAAATATTTTTTCCTAAGTGTCTCCTTCAGTATTTCAAAGAACATAATCCCTCCTTAAAACATATAAATAACAAAAGGAAACAATGCAAAATCCCTATCCTGGAGTTAGGATAATCCTTCCTGTTGTCCCTGGAATTCGTGTGTGTGTGTGTGTGTGTGTGTGTGTGTGTGTGTTCATGTGTATGCACCAGCATGTGTCCTAATACAATGCACTTTTGATTAATTTCCCTCCATTTTTGCTCATGCAAATTTTCTACTCTTTTTTAAGATTAAAGTTTTACGTTGTTTCCTAGTTTGTTTTTCTGCCAATTACTAAGTATATGCATGTTTGAGAATCTAGTCATTCTTGCCTTTTCACCACTGGTTATTGTACATTTGAAATAGCTCCAATGTCCTTATTATATCGAGAAGCCCAGAACCAGCAATTCTGTAAATAAAGCTGCACTGGGAAGGTCTCCATTTTAGGGTGTTCTTTATTCTACATTCATGGGTGTTGTGATTCTGCATTGTCTCTATCTATTGTTCCTAATCTTGTGTAATGCCAAAATATCTTGTCGATTTAGTTCTACTACTTGTAATTTAAAAAATAATAATACATTTTTAAAAACTTGACTAATTAGCATTTCCATTCTCTGTTAGCATTGGTCTTTCTTTATGATTGTAAAGGCCATTAGAATTTATCTATACCCAATTTACTTTAAACACCAGTCCTAATCTACTGGCATCAGTCTACTTAATTAGCACATTCTCTACTTTGTCTTCCAGATTTTTTATAAAGATATTAAACAAAATGGGACCCAATATCGATCCTTGTGGGACCCTACTGGAAACCTCTCCCCAACTAGACGGACTACCAATTACGATTTCTCTCTGTATACGGTTAGATAGCCAGTTTTTAATCCATTTATTTGTATTTCTGTTGGGACCAATTTGTTTAGCTGTTCCCTGTAAAATAATGTTTGGGATCTTTGCAGATATTTATGGTCATGTGTCCACAGAGATTTGGGGATAAGTTAAATGTTCTCATAGGACCCTAGTAGAGTTTTCCCAGGTTTATTTTTCAATATAGCTATGGTGGACGTAAGCTTCAATATTCCATTAAAAAATTATTGTCCTAGATAAAGAAAGTGAATGAAACCTATTTTGAGATTTCTTTTCATTTGTATTGGAGGGTTAGAGTGCTATTACATATCATATGGTGGTGTTTCTTGTTTTAGGAAGTGTTGTTGTTGTTATTGTTGTTGATATTGTTAATTGAGTAAGAAATTTAAAACTTTTCCAACTGGTTGGTTCAGAATTCAGAAACAGATATTTTGTCCTAGATTATTTATTTGTGTTTAAGAATGTTTCATTTGCATCAAATCCTTATTGCTGTATTGTTATTTATTTTACAAATAAGTATTATCTTGGTGGGGCCAGAACTTTCATAATGATAAAGAGGCAGTAATCAAAATTATTCCTGGTCAAAACTTGTGTTTCATGAATTTCAAAGACAGTCTTTTGTTGTTGTTGTTGTTATTGTTGTTGTTGTTGTTAATACCTACAGTTTGTTTTCTGAATCCTCATGTGTTTTTCATCTTAATTGGCAAACTGTCATTCAGATTGATGTCCAAATTGGGATAAGAGGATTTTGATGTGAAATTTCTTACCAATCCACCTTTCCATTCACCACTTGAGCAGTACCAGTTTCCTTTCATTTTAATTTCTATTTCTTGGTGAGGCAATGCTTAATATTGAATATTTATAAATGTTTATATGAGGACTTGATGTCAGATAAATTTGCATTATTGTATCTTTTATATCTCATCCTCTTTTTTAATTTTATTGGTTTGACTTCAAAATCCTTGATACTTTCTTGTTTTGCCTTTGGTTGTGCAACAGGTATGGTTAGTCTAGTAAATTGCTACTTTGTTTTTGGTATTTTGTTACATTTTAATTTTAATTCTTGTTTTGAGATTATTTGGAAAATGGTAACTGATTCCAGAAAAAGATGTTTAAAAGCTTGTTAATCATCCTTTTGGTCCTAATCCCTTTAATACTTTGGCACTATTATGTCTGAGCTCTCAGGATATCTTATTTATGTTCTCACTGGTGTTGATATTTATTTTTTACTTTAGTAAATTCTGTTGAAATTAAAGTAGATTGATTTAATGGGATACTATTCAGTGTAGGATGCTTATTATATGGAAGAAAATATAAGTGAAAGATGGAATTTGTATTTATGATAAAAATGGTTAAAGAATATTTTATTCTTCAAACCCCACATCAAATTTTTCTAATGCCTAGGGAAAGCCACATGAAAATTCAGAATATCCTCATGGCATAAAGGATACCTTGAAGAAAATTTGTTTCTTTTGTGCATTAAATTGTTTAGTTGAAGGCTTCAGAGTTAATACTCTATAATTCATTAATAAGGACTCTTATTTTTTAAAAATCTTTCCTCTATTTTACAAAACACTATGTTAAAGAAGATGCTCAATGATTTACACTGAAGTATGAATTTTAATATTTTGTTTTATCATTTTTTTCTTGGTTATGTCTTTATTTAGTCCCTTAAGTCCTCTTTCAAACTCATTCAGAGTGTAAAATAAGGATTGATATTCCACAGTTCAGATGTGAGCTTTTTAATTAAACCTGTAACATGTAGAAGCATCAAGATGCATGTGACAGTCCTGAGAGGCACAAGGAGATGGTGGGATTCTAGGCTCATACTGAACTCAGTTCACATTCAGGCATTGTCTTTTATGGGACAGGTGACTTTGGACATTTTTAACTTTTCAAGTTTCCCAACTGCAAATTGAACACACCAATTTCAGCCTTACAGAGCTGCTGAGAGGATGAAGTGAGATAATTATGTTAAGGACCTTATACAGTACTAGGCAAAGAGCACTTAATTAATACTTGCTATTATTCTGGAGATGGTAAACCGGGAATGTGTGTCTTTCGCATTTTTTTTAACTTTATTACTGTTTTTCTGATTTTTAAATCAATTCATAATTTTTCTTAAATATATGTGTAAAAGGCAGTGAAAACCAACTGTACCCTCTCCCACACAGATATAATCATTGTTAACCCTGCTTTTCATTCAGTTAGTGGCATTCTTTTATATAAATAATCATATTCTATGATTATATAATCATGATTATTTTATACTTAGCTTTTAATATATTTAAGCATGTATATGCATCATTTCTAATAGTGCATTTTACTGACTGTGCATAATTCACTTAACATTTATTGAATGAGTACCAGTTGTTAGAAGTTTGCACTGTTTCTAACTGGTTTTCTATTATAAACAACTCTAAAATAAGCATCACATTGGTGGCATGCTTGCATAACACTGAGTCTTGATATATTCCTTAAAGTGCAGCTACTGGCTCCAAAATTTTTTGTCTTTAAATTGAAACATTGGTAGATATTTCTGAATTATCCCTGAAATGGTTTTCTGTAGTTTGCATACTTATTGGCATCATAGAGAAGCATAGTAATACATAACTGTACGCACAAACACATATACATGCATGCACACAATCACCTCACTCCTAAAATGAGAAAAAAATTAGAAAATAGATGTTTCACCGTGCCCAACTGTGAAAAATACTAGAGTAGAGAGAAAGAAGAATCAAAAAACCCAAGTACAGTTTCTCTTCTCTGTCTAAAAGTCTCAGAGAATTAAACTGCAATGGAAAAAATAAATGAAACAAAAGCAAGCAACACACAACTCAAACTGAAGCTCTGCTAAGAAGAGATGCACAGCAGGGCCACAGTCAGTGCAAACAGGATCATGAGAAATCCATCCAAGCTACAGCTGAGCAAATGAGAAAATCCAGTAACAATATCTTCATCAAGAGGAAGAAACTGCACAAAGAAACTGCATGACAGCTATGAGATACCTAATGGATTGGGCGAGGGACTCAACATGTAAACCTAGAGGAAGACTCTTTATTGAAAAAAAGGTATATATCGCAAGACAAACTAAAATATTACATATCAAATGTATCTTACCAAAAATTGGAAGAGAATAAGAAACAGAAGATCAAGAATGAGACAAGGAACAAGAGGAAATCAAAAGGGAGAAACTGAAGACAAATCAGTTGTTTTAAAAAGTAGTAAACCGGGCCGGGGATTTAGCTCAGTGGTTCCACCACCTGCCTCACAAGCAGAAGGACCCGAGTTCGATCCCCAGTACCAAAAAAAAAAAAATTTTGGCCGGGGATTTGGCTCAGTGGTTTCGCCGCCTGCTGCGCAAGCTCAAGGACCTGAGTTCGATCCCTGGTACCAAAAAACAAAACAAAAACAAACAAAAAAAAGTAGTAAACCCTAGTTCAATCCCCGGTACCAAAAAGAGTAGTAAACCCATATGCCTAAGAATGTTACACAGTAGAAAGTAGTTACATAATCTAAAATTTTAAAAATTGATTCCAAAAGAGCACATAGCCTAGGAGACTTCATCAACAAATCCTATAAAGCATTCAAAATCAAGTAACTGCTGTGGTATTGAACTTCTTGGAGAACATACAGCTATGAGAAAAAAATTCCAAATAATATAGAATTTCACATCACATAAGTATGGTATCAAAACCATATTTTAAAACAGAAATTTAGAAGGAAATTATCAATCCACTGCACTAATGAATTTTAGTGGAAAGAAAGTAAAACCTTAAATTTATATCAACTTGAATCCAGAGAATACTAATAAACTAAATCACAACCACATATTATCTCAAATACATAAATATTATTAATTACTTATATAAACTGAAAAAATGAAAAAAATTCCCCTTCAAATATATACCAAAAATTATTGATAAAAATTGAGTATTGGTTCCTGACTATAAATTTAAAACTCCTTATGAAACTAATACTGTTAAATATTTCCTCACTACAACTCTCTTTGTCTTTATTTACCTCCCTAACCAAAAATTTTGCCTCTTGCCTTTTATTTTAGGATAAAATAGTAAAAGCCAGAACAAAAATGAATACTTATCATCACCACTATTGTTTATTTTTTATTTATAAGTTAATGAAATCACTTGAGAAATATAAAGAATGTAGAAAGGAAGGAAAAATGAATAAGCAGTAACTCTTAAGCAAAAAGTGAAGACAAACAGTTTATTATTTTACTCAAGCAAAATCCAAGAAAATTGACTGTGGAAAACTTTCAGAAGCAATATGAGAAGCTAGGCAAATTCCCATGGCTTTCTTATGTATAAAGAGCATTAAACAGTAATGAAAGTAGAAGGCAGGAAAGAAAGCCATTTCATCCATAAGATTTTAATGAAAGAACACTTTTAAAAAATTCTTTTAAAACTTGTTTTCTTAACTAAACAGTATTTTAAAAGGACATATTCCATGTGTTTAGTGTAACATTATTGTATACCAGTGGGTTTTAAATTTAGTTTTATTTCTTTGGTTATTTTAGAATTCTGACACAGTAATTCTGAAGTTTTATAAAATTATTTAAGGAATCAGAAAAATGAAAAATGAGAAAAGAGTATCAGTAATAGAAGTTTAGTCAATGCAAGACAGTGAATGACTTTAGAGACAAAACCAGTGGCATATTACTTATTACTTTTTAAAATATGGACAGCAGGATGGGATAGTAGGGGCACTTCCATTTTTCACCTTCTAGGTTAATGTAGTGTTTTAGCTGATATTGGCATATAGACATAGAGATACATAGATATATAGATATAAATATATAACCTTATTTTTTCAATTGTGGGCTTTTCATTTCTCTCTCTCTCTCTCTCTCTCTCCTCCCCTACACACATACAAACACACTAACCATACCTACTAGACAGTTATAAACCACTCACAGAGTTCCTATATCTTCCAGTTCTTCTTTTATTACTCAACCAGACAAGCAAACATAATTA